TCCCCCCCCCCCCCCCCCTAAAAAAAAAATTGTTCCATATTTATCCTCATATTTTCCTTGGCAATGACAAATATTTCGGTGGGTTTAACACACGATAGTGTAATATGATATAAATCATTAATAAAAAATTATACATGTCTAATAAATAATTGTCGATTTTTTTTTTAAATCTAATTTATTTGTCCCACAAATTATTTTTGTAGCTGTCTCTTGTTTATACCATATAATAGTGTTACACCATAAATTCATTACAAATTTTCACCTCCGCAACAACCATATTTCTATTTCAACCCCGACCCCGTACCTCTGACAACCCAATAGATGTGACACATTATTTGGCAAGTCAAAGCTATTGTCCCTCTTGACTAGCGGTATGTGCTTGTTTGATTGCAGAGAAAGTTTCGAAAAAGTTAGAAAATTTGATTTTCTCCCTTAGGCATCTAGTCGGAAATAACCCTAGAAACTAACCGTGTTCCACAAAAAAAAACTCAAAATGATATTTTATATGCATAGATTGAGACTAATCGATTTTCCATCGAGATTTTATCTATATATGGTCTAATACTTTCTTGTATTTTCTAAACAAACATCAATTAGGTACTCGTCAATGTTAATTGAATCGTAGGTCACTTTGATATGCAATACGAATATGAATACATAATACGATATTTTCTTAGATACGCGATACAACAGGGATAGATTCAATTGATATGATAATTTGGGGTTACAATTCATTTTGGAAGTCTTATATATATATATATTGTTTTTACCGTTATATAACATTATATATTATAGAATATCTATAAACACTAAGTCAGTTATCATTTGTCTTACATTTGTGCTTGATTTTCTATTATCTAAAATACACGGAGTTAATTAATATGTATTTATATTTGTGCTACGTGTATAATTTGGGATCGTATATTTTATTGATTTAGATCGTAAACACACCCCATTTTGAATTAATGTACTCAAATCATTTTTCGTTAAGAGTTTAGTGAATTCTGGTAACTACTACTCCTGTCTGGATTCTTAATACATGAGTAAATATAGAAGCATTTACAAGGAACTCCCATGGACTTCTTGTAAGTAGATAGGCATTTTGGCTTGAACTTGTTTATAGGCTTGTTGAATAGAGGTCATTTAACATTAATCTCAAACTAAACCAATCTTCAAAAAAACTCTTGATCAAAGTACTATAATTTGATGTTACTTGCTTAAAATAGAACACAATAATGAAACATGGTCCATATAGTTGATTCCAAAAACATTAGAACGAGATTTTTTTGAGTTGAGTTGCTGAAAACTTAACGCAAAAATGCACATTTATCTGTTTTCTTTCTCAAGCAAAACTGAGTATAGGAGTAGGTTCCAAGTATCCGGGACACCAGCAAGACACCAATGACTGCAGTCCAAGCCACCATTGGCATATTTGGAAGGGTGTCCATCTTTTCTCAATTGAGTGAGGAATGTGATGTCAAGCAAATACACAGGCTTTGTCATGTTACTCAGTACACTCTTCACAACAGCTTCTCCTGGATATCTCTCACCTGGATAATCTGATCCCTCAACTGGTTTTGTTTGTCCACTGCAATCTTTAGCTGCTGGTTCATTCCATTCCCTGCCACTGGCATCAGGAAAAGAAAACATGTAGTTTTAAGTAGCAAGATTTTAGTTTTGTATTCATCATAGACCAATGGATACAAAATCCAAAAGTAAGGGTGGTGATCGAGTTATTTTGAGTTATGTTCGAGTCGTGTCTGGCAGCGGTACTACACAAGGGCCAATGGGGGCCATGGCCCTCCTCATCTTTTGAAAAATACCTTTTAATTCCTTAAGTTTTTAAAAAATTCTATGTTTTTCATTAGATTTTTAAAAAACTCTGGGATATTTCTCCAATTATATTCAAAAAAATTAATGGTTTGACATTTAATAACAAAATGAGGATGTGATCACAAAAATGAGCGTTTCTTTTACAAACAAAGATACTTGCTTTGATGAGTTTGATGGCCAACAAGAAAAAAAAAATTAAACTACTAAAAAAATGACTTAAAATCATGGCTTATATCTAATAGTGGTGTTAAACTGACCCAAAAAAAAAAAAATATGACCAAATTCAATAACAGAATAACGTGGTACTAATATGGTGGTAGTACAAAAAGTAAAATTTACAAGCCAAAGATTAAATTGAATTTCAAAATTTCAATTTGTTAAATTTTAAGACGAGTTGCAAAAATTTGTTCCAAAAATCAATTACCAAATTTTATGATAGTAAGTATAAAACAATTTTTTATTTTATTTTATGAGTCAAAGTAATATTTTTTTCAATAGTATTGCACAAACGTTGATCTTAATACAGTCTCTACACTGTAAATTTGTCTACAACTACGATAATGTTTGACCCCACTGAGATAAAATCCTGATTTTGTCTGGGGTGTTTGGATTCTTGTTGAGTAGAATCTAGTCTGACCAATGTAAATACTTATGTCTGATATCCTAACACTTTCTCTTTTCTCCCTCTCACCCTAAATGAACATTTCATAGGTTTCCATAGACAAAAAACTCGTGATCCTTAAAAAGCCTAATTCGACAAGGGTTGATACAATACTTGGCCAAGAAATAAAACAAATAAGAACATAAGATTTTTTCTTCCTACAAGGCCAACTAAATGGATTGTCGTATTATTTCTATTACATACTAATCTAACCCATTTATTATATGTAATTAACAGGTCGTGTTATTTTGGATTTTATTGAAAACACGATAACCCTAACCTACCGGGTTCATATCATGTTAAAAATCTCTACCTCTTCCCGATATTGGATATATATATACTTACTGGTAATGTGTGGCAGAAATTCCTTGGAAAAACACTCTAGTCTTCATAGGATCAATGTTGGAATCAACCCAATTAGCCCAAGTTGTTAAAGCTATCCTGTATGCTTCCATGCGATCCATTTCTTTGGACATCTTGTCACCCACTTGAAAGTAGTCCCATCTGCAAAACAACACAGAAATTCATGTTTTTTTTTCCTTGCTGTTTCCAGCGAAAGATTTACATATTGTAATTCTTAATTAGGCTTGAAAATCATACGTCTGAATGCTTCCTGTGTGTATCCACCAGTGATAGCTGTTGAAGATCAATATGTCAACTCCTTTCCACTGCTCTGCTCTGCTTATGGAGTCCAGCTTTAGAACTCTACCTTCTTTTTCAACCACCAGGTCCACCAGGAACCCATTTTTCAAAAAAGTAACATCAACTCCATAATCCTTTCAGAGAAAAAAAATAAATAAATAAGCAAAGTTAATTGTGTTTAGCAAGGACCGCAATAGGTAAAATTGTCCTAGTGTGATCTGGGTGTATGGCATTTCAGTCATAAAAGACTGCATATATTTAACATTTTTAAAACCCGTAACGGGAGTTTAGTACACTAAACAATGATTGTCTCTTTGAATTGTGTTCAGGAAGAAATGAAGGAGATTGAGAAGATCAAGTTAGAACCTACTTGAAAGGATAGTGTCAAGAGCAGCCCTTTTTGGACTACGGTGTAATTAGAGTTTGGGACTGAGCTTTGAAGCATGCATGAGAGTGACTGCCACTGGTTGGAGCTCAGAGAGTCCCCCACAAACATGATTTTTTTTCCTCCAAATCTCTCTAGGAAATCCTGCCCATCAAAACTGTACCACAAATATCTTATCAGACACAATTTAACTAAGGTACAATGTTAGGGATCTCAAATTGTATCCCAAATCAGTAGGAACCCTTCGATCAGTGAGTCTCGATAACTTTTTTCAATGGGATTGATTTATCTAATGACACCTATTCATTTGGGATATCATCTCGGATGTCAAATTTGGGATGTAAAGTATTTTCCTTTAAGAACAAACACTTGTGAAGATATATCTTTCAATAATCAACCATATATATACGTATGAGAGTTTCTACCGTATCGAATTTGTTTTTTTGGTACTATACCGTTGATTACCACTTTTTATGAATAAAGTTACAACTTTGAAAGAAAAAGTTATAATTGTTAAAGCAAATGTCATGATCAATCAAAGACACCCATGATCGATTATGAAAATTTCGTCATCGATCACAACTTTTTATGATCCATTATGCCTTTTAAAGTTATAATTTATACATAAAAAAGTTATAAGGTTGGGTAGCATAAAAAAGAAAAATCTTTAATCATTATATCTAGAAACATGTATGTAAGCTTTTATAGAACATACGAAAATTTCCAACTTCCAAGTTCCATCTATTACATTTCTTTGAACTAATTTTCCTGTATTACTTGAATGATAGGAGGATATAGCCTGAATGCAGATTAAATAGATACATTTTCCCGTGAGATTTAGCATAATGGCATTGAGAATATGAGTATTTCTCAGCAGAGGACAAGAAGGGCTGATTTAGATTACCTTGAAAGCTCACAATTATCAGGTTTCCATCTGTATTTGAGATACAACTTATCAGGTCTACCATTCTTCTGGCAGTTTAATCCTGGATTGACAAAGGGGCAATTCGACCCATCATAGATTGGGTATTGATCATAAAAAACCCAGCTTCCTTGGAAGAGATTGCACCCGTTTGATTGCTCACTTGGTATGAACTGATTCAACTTTGATATCTTCTCTCCAAAAGCATTGTTGGGTGAGAAGTTTACGAGGGAAAACAGCAGAGTTAGGTGAAGAATAGAACCCGACCAGAGAGACATTTGAGAGTGAAGCAGAAATAGTGAGAGAGAGAGAGTCATAAATCTGGTGGGATTTAGATGTGTTTGTCACTGATTGTTGAGGAAGCGGATCTTCTGTGTTTTTTATTAAAATAAAAGGGGCAGAAGTAAAAGAGAACGTCCAAAAACCGCAGATTTCATGGATGGGATCACTCCACTCAAGGGTAAGCAAATCTTCTGTTTATTTGTCTTATTTATGACAAAATCTGCTCATTCGTTGGTAGTGGAAATAATCACATGCAAAACTTATCTTAGTCAAATAAGATCAGCTACTAGGATTGAGAAAAGGAATTGAAAAGTTTTCGCACATAGCGAGATTTAAGAGCGGTAAATGATATATAATTTTATTTTTTTATAAAGAGATTGATTGTGAAATTTAAATTTTCGAGTTCTGCTTGGATGGGTTTGAGTCCCGGAGAGACTTATTAGAGTGGCGTGTGTTGGATTGATATATTTAGTTGATGTGTATTTTTGAGCTAAGGGTAAATTATATCGATCTCCTTTGAGGTTTGGTCAAACAAAAACGAGATCCTCTCATGTGTTGAAAATAATACTAACCTTCCTTCTGTTTTTGTTGTTTATACCAAATTTCTCCCATCCTTAGTGGATTGTTAAGGCGGCATCAGAAGTTTGCTGATGTAAGTAACTTATTTTTTAAAAAATTCAATATTGCCCTTATCCAAGTTACATTTATCTTGCATTAGTAACCAAACAAACCATATCCACAATATTGATAGCGTAAACATGTTTCCAATTAAATTAGCTCCTTTTGATCACCTAACAATACCACAATAACCTACTTTCTACTCGACCTTCTCTTTCTCTCCCATGGATTCATTGAGACAGCCCTTGATCCATCCTCTCCACATCACTCCAATACTGAATAGGCACTACCACCATAGCTACAGCGACACATGCATCACCGGAGTACATCACGATATTTTTGGGGGTGTTTTATACTTCAAATTAGTTTTATGGTTGAAATGGGTTTTGAGTATGAAGGAGTTCATGAGTTTTTTGGTTGGTGCGTTGGGGAAAAAGCGGAGACAGTGGTGGGTTTGATTATGTTAGTGGTAGGCAATGGTGGGTAGGAAGTGTGTTGGTGGTATTGTGTGTGTGTGTGTGTGTGTGACAGAGTGGTGGGGGCGTTCCTTGTCGAATAAACATGATGGACCTTTTTTTTTTGGGGGTGGGGGGAATATATAATAAAACAGATAGGTGTTTAAAATTTTAACTCATTCATTTTTTTTCTTTTAAAATCATCATATCACTCATTCCTATCACATTTTTAATTATTTAATATTTAATTAATTTATAATTTAACATAATTTTTATTTTAGACATTATTCATATATATTAGTATTTGAGAAAATTTATTGAATTAAATCGACTTTTTAGACGCTTGAAAAGTATACATGTGTGTGAGAGAGAGTGAAGAGAAATTGATTTTTGAGATGTGATTATTGAAGGTGTAGGGAGTTGAAGGTGAGAAGGAGAAGGGGTGGGCAATGATGAGCTTGGGTATGACATAAAATGGAGAAGAATACTTTTTGAGTGAAAGATATGGAAGGCTATTATAGTCTTTTACTGATTTTGTTGCATGGACATTACAGACAAGGGAAGTTAGTGTTATTTTTCATATATGAGAGGATCCTGTTATTATTTGATCAAATCTCAAGGAAGATGAATGTAATTTACCCTTGATTCAAATGGCAACACTTGTGGATATCCTTAGCTGGATAAGGAATAATTCAGGAGGCCCCATCTTATCATGGACACAAATAGAAAGGCAAAATAAGGACAGGAAACAAGGTTGCCCTGTTGTTTCCTATGTGACTGTGTACAGTGTACACAAAATTGTGTGAAAACCCTGACAGCATTTTGTATTTTATAATAGTTCTCCTTGTCTTTTTGTCACTCATCCTTAAAAAAAAGAAAAAAGAAAAATTACATCCAAATCTCTTGAACTTTATTAATTAATCACTTTAAATTCTCTAATATTTAAAATATTATAAATAGACCCTTAAAATTTGTACGCGTGTAACATTTAGATCATTGTCGTCAATGCTCATTTGTATATTCATTAGTAAATTATATTTATATTCCTGAAATTTGAAACGTGTAATACTTAAATTTTTAAGTTTAAAATATTATACTTAAACAAAAAATACTCTAATTAAAGATATAATATTAAATATTTTAAATTTTACAACAAAATTTCATGTTCTATTATACCATTTATTGAAATAAAATTAAAAATAAAAATTCAAATATTTTTTAAAAATATTATAATTAATACTATTGATGCCAAAATTTGAATGACTTCCATGTCAGTTTGGATTTGGACTAAATGGATCTTTTACCTTAGGTCAATTTTTCCATCAAGTACGAACATATATAAAATAAGCTTAATCAACATATTTGCATGTTACATTATATCATTTATTGACATCAAAATCAAATAAAATCTCATTTTTTTTAGTGNATATTAGTATTTGAGAAAATTTATTGAATTAAATCGACTTTTTAGACGCTTGAAAAGTATACATGTGTGTGAGAGAGAGTGAAGAGAAATTGATTTTTGAGATGTGATTATTGAAGGTGTAGGGAGTTGAAGGTGAGAAGGAGAAGGGGTGGGCAATGATGAGCTTGGGTATGACATAAAATGGAGAAGAATACTTTTTGAGTGAAAGATATGGAAGGCTATTATAGTCTTTTACTGATTTTGTTGCATGGACATTACAGACAAGGGAAGTTAGTGTTATTTTTCATATATGAGAGGATCCTGTTATTATTTGATCAAATCTCAAGGAAGATGAATGTAATTTACCCTTGATTCAAATGGCAACACTTGTGGATATCCTTAGCTGGATAAGGAATAATTCAGGAGGCCCCATCTTATCATGGACACAAATAGAAAGGCAAAATAAGGACAGGAAACAAGGTTGCCCTGTTGTTTCCTATGTGACTGTGTACAGTGTACACAAAATTGTGTGAAAACCCTGACAGCATTTTGTATTTTATAATAGTTCTCCTTGTCTTTTTGTCACTCATCCTTAAAAAAAAGAAAAAAGAAAAATTACATCCAAATCTCTTGAACTTTATTAATTAATCACTTTAAATTCTCTAATATTTAAAATATTATAAATAGACCCTTAAAATTTGTACGCGTGTAACATTTAGATCATTGTCGTCAATGCTCATTTGTATATTCATTAGTAAATTATATTTATATTCCTGAAATTTGAAACGTGTAATACTTAAATTTTTAAGTTTAAAATATTATACTTAAACAAAAAATACTCTAATTAAAGATATAATATTAAATATTTTAAATTTTACAACAAAATTTCATGTTCTATTATACCATTTATTGAAATAAAATTAAAAATAAAAATTCAAATATTTTTTAAAAATATTATAATTAATACTATTGATGCCAAAATTTGAATGACTTCCATGTCAGTTTGGATTTGGACTAAATGGATCTTTTACCTTAGGTCAATTTTTCCATCAAGTACGAACATATATAAAATAAGCTTAATCAACATATTTGCATGTTACATTATATCATTTATTGACATCAAAATCAAATAAAATCTCATTTTTTTTAGTGTAACATTTCAAACATAAGAGGTCTAAATATTATATGCCTACAAGTTTTTAGGGATCTAGATGTAATTTACTATTAGATATAGTAACAAACATTAATATAAGAAGTTTGTGTATTACGCGCGTAAAAATCTTAAGAGGTTTGTGGATAATATTTTAAATATCAAGTGACCTAGGTGGTTAAGTACAAATCTTAGAATTTCTTATTTGTGTATGTTATTTTGATAATCGAGTGTTGATTTGGTGGGAGTGGCTTTTATTCCCAGCCACATCCAACGACCATGTTTAAGAAGTACGAAAAAGAGAAGAGATCTTCCTCGAGTGCTAGTTTTGAACCTCTAAACTTACTTCTAGATTCTCATAATTATGTTTTATCTAGTCAAAGTTAGGCGATCAAAAATCTCACACATCACACATTAATAAATTACTTTATTATTAAACAATGATAGGAATCTCAAATGAGTAGGAACCTTGAATGGATAGGTCAGACATCGCTTCAATGCCGCTTTCACTTTTTCGGCACCATACCGAAAAAATAAAAGTGATCTATGCTTGCCACTTATACACCCCAAAACCCACAATCAGTTTATCCGGTATATACTTTAAAAATAATAAGTGATAACATAAATTAAAATTAATTTTAAAAAATGATGATTATTTGTCTTCTTTAAACCTTAATATGAAATAAAAATATAAGGAAAAACTTACAATATTTGAGGTCATTGAGTGATATTAAATTTACTATTTTTTGGGTTAAGTTAAAAATATTTCGAGAGCTTAGCATTTTTTTGGTAAAGGTTATCATTTTTTAGGTTAGTTCACCACTATTTTAGGCTAAATTACAACGAAGTTTACCACCTTTTAGGTAAGTTACCGCCTTTGGGTGTTAAATTACCACATTTTTTGGGTATTAAAATGTTATCACTTTTTAGGCAAGGTTACACTTTTGGGGATAAGATGACCAATTTTTTTTTGAATAAAGTTGCCATTTTTTGGGGTTATGTTATAACTTTTAGGGGTAAGGTTAACATTTTTTGGAGAAAGGATACCACTTATGGAGTAAGGTTTCCATTTTTGGGGGTTATCTTATAACTTTTAGCGATAAGGTTACCATTTTTTAAGGTAAATAACCACTGTTTTAGGCTAAATTAAAACCTTTGGAATGCTCTTACTACCTTTTGGGGAAAATTACCATATTTGGGCGTTAAGTTAACACCTTTTGGGTGTTAAATTAAATAAGGTAAAAAATTTTGGGGTAATATGAAACTAATAACATAGTTGAGGGTGTAATGAAAAATTTGAAGGGATAAATTGAAAAAGGCTGATAATTTAGGGGTATAAGTAAAATTTATCCATTTGGATAAGTTTTAGATTACATGATTGATCTTGCTTTATTATGACCAATCCAAACAAAGCATGATTGCTACAGTCAAATCAGGATCGGTCAGCAGAGCGATGGGCTCATTTTTCTTTTTTATTTAATTATCAACAACTCAAGCACGTACCCCAAGCCCAAATCTAAACCCAAACACTTATCCCAAACCCAAACCCTTACCTGACAAATTTCACCTCATATAAATCCAACTCAAACCCTGACCCAATCAACTAGTCCACAACTCAACTCAACTTAACTCAATGAACTCCAAAATTTTCAACCCTAGAACCCAAATTGAATTCAAAAAACCCTAATTTTCCATACCCAAAACCCTAACAAGAACCCAAATTGAACCCCAAAGAACCTTATCTCTCTCAGAGCTAGCGAAATTGTGCCACTAGAACTACTGGAGACACTGTCACTGCCACTGCCACTGGAGCCACTGCCACTGTCATAGCCAACGCAACCACCGTCATTGCTAGAGTACTGCCAGTTAAGTGGTTAGCAACAACAAAATAAGAATTGCAAGTTTAGTGCTCTTTTGTTAATGGCCTATGACAAGTTTTTAGCCAGATAGAATTCAATGTCTTCTGTTAACCAAGATTAAGAAAAAAGTAATAGCTAATTATAGGCAAAGAGAAGTTATGTAGAGAACCCCTGTAATAGTTTATAATAGCTAAATTAAAGGAAAAGAGAAGTTGGGGACATAATTTCTCTCTCTCTTTCTCAAGGACAAATAAATAGCTAATTAGACATCTTAATTGATGTCTGATCCATACAATTTTTCATATTGGTCGATTAGTTGAGTTTCCTAATGTCTGAAACTTATGAAGGCGTCTTGGGAAACTTGATTGATTTGGCCAAGTTTCCTATGTCACAAATAAATGGAGACAATCTCTTTATCTTTGTTTTCCTACTAACCAAACTCCAACTACCCCCAGAACCTGATAACCACATCCATAGAGTGATAACCCTTACTCCTCCACTATGGGTTCATTTCATCTACGAACATGATAATCTTATTTTAAAAAGTTTTAAGGGTATTTATTTTTTATTAAATATAAGATTACTATAATCTCAACCTACTCATTAATTTATAATCTCTTGAATGGTTCATAGGGATAAAAAAACTCTATAACTCTATTTTCTTCTTTCTCCGCCATTTGCATCCTTGTTTGAATTTTTTTTTTTTCAATAAATTTGTCAAGACTCATACCTATTGAGTGGGTGGCCGGAAAAAAGTAAAATTTCATCAACAGTTGTATCTCCTTGATTATAGATCAAAGGTTAATGTTCATTTTTCGGTACCATGCCGAAAAGGTAAAAGTTGGTACCGTAGAAAGACCAAAGTGGATCCCATTTTCTTATGTGATATAGTTGGACATTTATGTGCATGGAGAGAGAGAGAGAGAGCATGCCCAACGATGCCAACAGACCACCAATACAAAGCCCAGAATTCTAGCCAGCTTTCATCAGCCATTGAAATTTATACCATAAATAAAAGACAATTTTCTTGCAATCTACATCTCAGAAATGTTAACATTTCAAATTTTTGAACGATTACCAGCTACAAGAACTCCATACAAGAGCTGATTCCAAGTATCAGGAACACCAGCAAGACACCAATGGCTACAATCATTTCCTTCATTTCCACCAAACCCATAAATGGATGAATGCCCATCTTTTCTCAGCTGTGAAAGTGTTGTCACATCCAGCAACTTCACCGGAATGGACATGTTTCTCAGTATTTCCTTCACCACAGCCACAGCTGCCATTGATCCTCCTGGGTACACAGACCCACTTAACGGTTGGGTTTGCCCTTTGCAAGTTGTGGATTTCGACTCATTCCATTCCTTACCACTAGAGAGAGAGAGAGAGAGAGAGAGAGAGAAGGCAGAAGTGAATATAAAAAATGGTTGATTCTGGCAAAACACCGTAATAGTTGGTGGAAAGTATATGTTCTACTTGACTTTGATCCTCATTCTTTTAACTATGTCACTCAAATGCATAAATGGTCTAATCAATCAATTACAGTCACATCCATTTAAATATGTCGCAAAACGTGCACTTTTCGTCTTTAAATTATGTGTAAAATGATAGTTTGATCTCTCAACAACATAAACTAGATAATTTAGTCCTTAAAAACAATAATTCTCGAATATTTCGATGACCAAAAATATAGTAAGTCAAATGTCATGTCTTATTTTCTTTCAACCAATTTAAACGCTTATTATCAATTGTACCATTTATATCAATTAATTGAAAACTTTTTCAGGAGTAAAGAGATACTATTGAAAGAACAAAGACCAGAAATATATTTAGTCCTTATTTCTTGAAGTAATGATTATATAGAATAGTTAGGCAGATATTGCATTGGAAGAGACATGATCGGATTACTTGAAGTGGGTTGGAGAGATAAGGGCTTATTTTTTGCAGTACTAATAGAAAAATAGTCACGGTGGTACTACTGCACCGAGAGACAAAAGGGGTAGCTTACTTATAATGGGTTGGAGAGATGCCCTGAAAGAACACTTGGGTTTTGGTAGGATGAACGTTGGAGTCTATCCACTTCGACCACGTCGTTAGTCCTTCCTTAAAAGCTGCCAAACGATCCATGTCTTTATACATTTTGTCTCCTTTTTGTACGTAATCCCATCTGAAAACCAAATCAACATACCAGCACTAGTTATTAATGAAGTATTAGCTATTATTCTTTTATGGACAACTGTATATATCACTACCAGAGGGTCTTGCATTCGGTCAATCCATGTACGTGATCGTAAAAGAGTAACATAGAAAAAGGGAAAGTGACAGGAGTGAGAAGAGACGGTCGAGTGTGGTCGATAGGAAGTTATGATTGATTAAGGTGGAAATATAATGTTATTATAGAAATTCTATATATGGACATCAAACTCTGCTCTCTCTCTATATCATAGTAACATATTACAATAAATAATCAGTTTTGCAACAATGAATAATCCTTACTATGAGTGAGGAAAATCATTGGAAATTTGAAACAAGGTTTGAGGGAAGTTCGAAAAAAAGACACAATAAATCTCATCATGGTACATGAAACCACCTATAAAATACATCATTTCTCGGGAATCCACGATAGATCACCCATAACGAATTCAAGTAGATCTCACTTGTATTTATCATGGACGAAAATTAGGAGAACTTGTAGGGATCCAAGGAAAATATTATTTCGATCTAATTTAGAGGGAGTTTTTTGCACTTTATATTTTAAAAGATTTCAAAATTCTCATTTTTGTGTCTTCAAACATAAAATTTCTCGTATAACACCGTCAATATATCAAAAATATTACAATGTGTCACTTATATTAATTTCCATTATTTTTTTCGTAAAAAATCAACCTATTGACATTGACGACAAAAATAATGGAAAGCTAACAGAAGAGTTATATTGTAACGCTTTTGATATATTGAGGGTGCAATGTATCAAATTTAATCTTTGGGAATACAAAGTAAGAATTTTAAATTTTTTCAAGAGCAAAGGCAATTCGCCCAATTTAAAGACCTAACATGGAGACCTAATTTAATACAACTATTAGATTAGTAGTGAACTTTGTCAAACAATGAAATGCAATTAAACAAATGACTATATTGAATTAGGTCCCTAAATTATATCCTTATAACATTGATTGGAGTCTAAATTCCAAAGAAAAATGTTATTTGAACTTAATTTGCGGGATTTCATATAACATTAAAATTCACAATTAATTCAATGACTGTATTGGATTAGGTCTCTATAGCATTGTTGAATCCCGAATCGCTTATTCTAAGCAATGGATTCTCCATGCTAACTACTTGCCATTATGTATTGAAAGTGTTAATAAGCAAAAGATATATAAGTAGTTGGGTGTTTATGGCTTAGTATAATAGTATCTCACGATTGTTTGCTTCCTTTATGGAGCCACCAATGCCAAGTATTGAAGATGAGCATGTCAACCCCTTTCCACGCATCACCATTTTCGATGGAGTCCAACTTTAGAACTCTTCCTATCTTCTCTTTCACAAGATCAACTAGAAACGCATTGCGAGATAACATCACAGAAACATTATATTCCTGCAAATCCCATACATAAGTTTGTTAAGAGTCAAGTAATTAACACTAAGTGGTTGGTATATATGGTGCTGGCTTTGTGTCTTTTATCTTATAATCATCTCAAAATTTAATCAAACTCGTGTCATGTCAAATTGTGTATTGTATATCTTGTATTTACCTGAAATTATACCGACCCATTAATTTATAAGTAGGGTTTGGCGGTCCATCCATTTATCTCTGTACCGGTGTACCCCTCAGACAAAACCTACATTCACTAACTCTATGTCATGTTCAAGAGAAGTGTATGATTATCAGGCCCACAAACGACATATTGATAAAGAGATGGTTGACACTAGATATTGAATAGCTGCAAGTTGAAGGGAAAATTGAAGTCACACGTCTTCTAGTTTACTCTATCTTTAAAAACACTTATTCTATTTTTTGAATTTTAACTTACATTCATTATTAGATTAAAAGTGTTAATTAAAATGCAATTTTACTAAAATGCTCATAATATATATTAAGAAAAAAATTATCCACACCACCTCTAGATAGTCATAATGATACCCTTTTTATTTTTAAAATTTTTTTACGTATTAAAATTCAGACCGATTAAAATTTAATTTAAGCTAATTAAAATTTATTTTTTACGTATTAAAATTCGAGTAGATTAAAAATTATATTTTTTTACGTATTAAAATTTGAGCCGATTAAAAATTCAAATTAAATTTTAATCAACTCACATTGAATTTTAATTGGCCCGAATTTTGATACATAAAAAAAATAAATTTTAATCGATTCAAATTTTAATACATAAAAAATAAATTTTAATCAACTTAAATCGAATTTTAATTGACTCGAATTTTAATAAGTAAAAAAATATATAAATTTTAATTGGCGCTAACAGTTCAGGTAGAGCTCAAATCGGCTCTAATTTTAATACTTGAAAAGGAATTTTAATACATAAAAAATAAAATTTAATTAATTCGAATCGAATTTCAATCTGCTCAAATTTTAATATGTAGAAAAATAAATTTTAATCGACTCAAATTTTATGTAGAAAGATTGTTTAAGATTTGTTAAATGAAAATTTTGGTATTTTTAATAATTTTTTTTTGTTTGAAATGTTGGTTTAACAACAGGTGGGTCAGTGATTTTTAAATATAAACTAGAACGGGGTGTTAGTGATATTTTAAAAGGAGAATTATACAGAGACCCTTTGAGGTTTGTCACTTGATCACTCAAACTCCTCGACATTTAAAATCTTACACATAAAACCCCCTAAAGTTTGTACGCGCGTAACACTTAGATCTTTGCTGTAAATATATCCATTAATAAATTATATTTAAACTCTCTGAAGTTTGTAGCTATATAATATTTATATCCTTTAAGTTTAAAATATTATAACAAAAAATATTCTAATCAAAAATAGAATATCAAATATTTTAAATTTTACAACCAAAATTTATATTCTATTATATCATTTATTGAAATAAAATTAAAAATAAAATTCATTTTTTCTTAAAATATCGTAATTATTATATTGGAATAAAACTAAAAAAATCAAACAAGGGGTCTAAGTCATTCATAATAAAACATAAATTTTACATTTAAAATTTATGTTCTATTATGTAATTTATAGAAATAAAATCTAAAATAAAAATCTAATTTTTAAAAAAAAAATCATAGTTAGTATATAACTATAGTATCTATTAGAATAAAACTAAAAAATTAAACAAGGGGTTAAACTATAATGAACACAATATCTTTTAGCTTTAATTAGGGTAGTTTAGTATTTTAATTTGACCATTTAAACGACTAAATTAAATTTTAATAGACAATATAATTGTATACTAACTATGATTTTTTAAGAAAAAATTGAATTTTTATTTTTGATTTTATTTCAATAAATGATACAATAGAATATAAATTTTAATTGTAAAATTTAAAATATTTGATATTTTATCTTAAATTGAAATATTTTTGATTTAAGTATAATATTTTAAATTTAAGGGGTCTAAGTTAGAGTTTTGGTATAATTTATTAATGGGTATATTTACAGTAAAAGTTTAAGTGTTATGTACGGACAAATTTCGAAGGGTCTGAATGATTAAGTGAGAAACTTCAGAGAAATTGAGTGTAATTCACCCTCGTTTAAACGATAGAGAGGTATGTTGAAGATATCATAAACTAGAAATAATATCGCTGAAATTTTTCCAAATTTGCATGATAATGAACTCATTAAACAGCCATCCATCCTACACTAAAGATGAGCTGGGATAATAAAGGCAACGGCACTCCATAAATCATTGCCAGATGCGAAGACACATCAACCTAGTGTAGGTCATTCAGGTGGAATCCTCACACTTTGAAGATGGATGGTCTTTCCAGTATTTAATGGCAAACTTACTTAAAAAATTTCTTCTCTCCTCCCCATGGGAAGAAAATCTAGCAACCGAACAAAAGTCCTGACAAAACGGGTCATTACGTGATAGTCAAGTGTTCAAAAAATACGTGGGACAAATCTTGAACATAGAGAGAGAGAGAGATGGATAAAGAAATTAACCAACCGGTAAGCTAAAAGTGGAAAGATCTTGTATCCTTTCAAGTGTGTAGTTTGGCTGGGGTACTACTGCAGCATGCAACAGGCAAGTGAGAGACTGCCATTGATTGAGGCTTAGAGAGTCCCCCACGAACAATATTTTCTTGCCTTTAACCCTCCTCAAAAAATCCTGACTATTAAATCTGCACAACATTGTTACACATATGAAGTACTCTTGATTGAGGCCTTAGTTCAATAAAACCCGAAAGTGCAAATTACATCTAGGTCCCTTAAACTATACTGCTCATTCTACATTGATCGCCATAAACTTATTGACTTTCTCGTATTGCACCTTGAATTTTGCATTTGAGTTTCTTATTGTCCCAATCATTGTCGCAAATCAGGACAAAAATAGAATTCTGCCCAACTAAAGAGGGAAATATCACATCTTCTAACAATGTGAGATCTTGTTTTTCTCTAGATATGTTGTGAAAAATTGGACAAAAATTAGCAGTTGTGAAACTCAAGCCATTAGTTTAAAGTGTATTGTGAGAAAACTGACAGTTTAAGAGTCAACAATAAATGAGAGACATAGTTCGAAGAGGCTAAGTGTAAATTTAATTTTCCAGCCAAAATAAACTGTCATGCAATTTACTGATGAAATATATTTGGCAGTGCAATAAATTGAAATACATTGCATTAATTGTGTGTATTTTTTGACGTCTTTTGGACCACGAGCTACAATACACGACTCAAATGTACCTTAGCTAAGCCCATTGGTCAAACTTAAAGTTTATACAATTTAAAGATTAGAATTTAGAACTCACAACGTGTAGATTTATGATTTGTCCCCTATTTGAACCAATACATATCCAACTTATATCAATTCATTGTATGAATTTATGTCTCTCTATGACCATTCATATCTGCAACATGGGAGTGAAGTGATGCAAACAAACGTACCTGGGCAATTCACATGCACTTGGCTTCCATCTATATTTAAGATAGAGTTTGTCAGGGCGTCCATTTCCCTGGCAGTCGAATTGTTTCTCAATGAATGAACAGAATGTTGCATTGTACAGAGGGTATGTTTCATCATAAACCCAACTTCCATGGAAAAAATCACAGCCCTCACTTGATTCTGATCCACCCAAGTCAATAAAATGCTTCAGTAATGTGGCCCTGGTGGACTGGAATGTGCATGAAATGAACAAAAAAACATAAGCAAAAAGGTATAGACTACACCACCTTTTTCCCATTTTTTGTGTCTCTGTGTGTGTGTGTGAGAGAGAGAGAGAGAGAGAGAGAGAGAGAGAGTTTGATGAGGTTTGATAAGACAGTGAGGATTTGATGGAGAGAGAAAGAAGAGAGAAGTATATAAGAGTTTGGGAAATGTTGAAGAGTTTTGGAAGGTTGTTAGTTAGGTGTACCTGTAGGTTGATTGGCTTAAACACCAAGACATTTAGACATTAATTATTCCCTTCTTTTCTCTACTCTGGTGTTGTTAGGATTCATTATTGCCAGTGACGTAAACCCCATTTTCCTCATCATTTTTCACTCATAAGTACTCAAGTCGCCAACTCATCCTTCTAAGGAAAGCCTCAAACGTCTGTTGACTGTTGAGAGATCAATTTCTAGACTTTTGTGGCCTGATAGTCGGGAATGTTTAAATTATTGAACGGTTAGTCACAAAAATTGAGTAAGAATGTAAAAAAATTTTTGGTCTTTCGATTAAATTGGGTAAAAATGCGGAATACCCATCAATTTTCGTATTACTACTCTACCCTACCTGCATAAAATATATTTAATTTTGTTATATTTTTTTTAGTAACTATAAGAATATTTGTGTGGTATAATTTATATTATAATATTGTTATTGTTGTAAATGTTTGAGTTGCTAAAAAATGGACTTGTTTTTTGTGTAGATTACATAATTCATGGTAAACTAGTAATCTATTGGAGCAATTATGATTTTAATGTGTTTCATATAATTTAAACTTAAAATAATTGTTATTATATTTGTGTAATAATTATGATAGATTAATGTTCATACTTTTTTGTGTTTTATTGTAATTGTTTTAGGTTTTAGTGTTATTGATTTATTGTGTTGTTAAATTGGTGCATGTTACTTAATTGAATTATTAAATGATCCAAAAATTAATAGTTATAAAATTATTTACCCGACTTTCTACCCGATTAATCCGATAGGAAGTCGGCTAGGAATACTATACCTGATCGGGTAGGATAGGCTAAAAAAAAATTCTTCTATAAAATATTTGATAAGAAGACGATAGATTAAATTTCCTACCCATAAGATAGGGCGAACACCCTTACCGACAGCCTTCATAGTTTTGGCCAGACGATAAATCTTGGCATTAAATTTGAACAAGTTGAAGGCTTAAAGTTGGGGCGTCCGCTGCGCGTGAATGACAAATTCATGCGCCGTTTGAATCATATTCGCACAAATATGATTATTTGTTCATTTTCTCACCGGCTTGTCTATAAAAAGAGATGCCTTCAAACATCGAAAAATTACTTTTAAGTGTTATCAGAGGTTGAGGTTTTCAAGCAGGGGTAAGTGATATTTTGGTATTAATCTGAGTGTTATCAAATTTATGAGAGATATTAGTGGAATATTAGAGTGATCATTTTTTGTTAGAATGAGTACTTGTGAAATTTAAAATAATTGTCTTGTACTTCTGTTTTACATTATAGTGAAAACATTCAATCTTTGTTATCGTAAACGTAAGTAATAGTCGAACCACGTAAATTGTTGTCTTATGTTATTGTTCTTTATCTTTTCACTTGAGTGAGTGTCAATATCGATTCCAATTCAATTTGTGGATAATTTTTGCAACACTAGGGGTGTTCACCTTACCGTACAGGTAAGAATTATAATATTTCATCTTCTTACCCGATATTTTAAGGAATAATTTTTTTTTTGATTTATCATATCCGATTAAATGTATTATTCCTACCCGAATTCTGTCTAAAACAATTGGATAGAAAATGGGGGTGAACACATATTTTTTAGTTATTAATTTTTTGATCATTTTAACAATTTAATTAAGAAACTTGAACCAATTAACTAACACAATAAACCAATAATACTAAAGCACCTTTCTATCTATCTCATACCTTCACCAACCCCTACGCATCTCATACCTACACCAACCCCTACTCCACTCCTTTCTTGTACTCTCTCTAAACCCTCTCTCTCTCCCTTGTAAAATATCTCTATCTTTCACCTTCCACCACTACTACTGTAAGTGTATTTTGTACATAAGTTTGAATTAAATCAAAGCTTTCGCTAATATTTGCGTTTATAGATCGATCCTCTCCCTTGTTGGTATCAGAGCCATAAGTATGATAGCTTAAGTCTATTCTGTTGATTTATGTGTAGATCTATTGCTAATTCTTGTTCCTTATCTAATTGTGATTTAATTTTTTATACTACTACTGCTATGAACTTGCTAGGTCCATTATGTTCTAATGATTTCTTTTTATTCCTATGATTTTACACCAAAGTCGTGTGTGGGATGTTAGGCCATTTGAGTGGAGGCGTTAGGCTATTTTTTGGTCGCGATATCATTGGCAGCAAGAGTAGGCCGGAGGAAATCACTATGAGAATAATAATAGCAATAGAGTCACTGTAGCAGTACTGTAGAAGAATTAAAAGACGAATTACAGTAACAACTGAAAGAAGGTGATAGTGAAATATATAAATCAACAGAAAATCCCTTGAGAAACCATAAAATGGCATTAATTGAAACTAATTTAAAGGATAAAGTCCTTTTAAATAATTCCCCACAATTAACCTACTTTGTGATTAATAGAGAACAAATTAATGAAGAATTTTATCTTCCTAAATATAAAGAATTTAGGAATTGATATTTTAAAACTATGAATCTTGATGACTTAAAAGATATAAAGAAATGTTTTGCCTTTATATAGAAAGGGAAAAAATAATAATTCTTTTTGTTAATTGGTTTTTAACCTATTATGTTCCACCCACTATGAATCAATTAAATTTAATTGAGAAATTTCAACAAAAATAAAAAATTTTGAAAGAAAAAACTATAAAGAGTTTTCACCCTCCAATAATATAATTTACTTTTAATCTTTATGATAGAGACGAAGATGAGTTTATAAAGGAACTTAGGAAAAAATTATTAACTTTATCTTTACATACAAATAATGATTGTCATACTTTCCCGGCTAAAATTGAAGAACAATTTCATAAAAGGAATCAAAGTAAGGACAAAATTGATAAAGTAGAAACTAAGTCTATAGAACCTACTAAGTCTTCAAAAGAAGAAAGTAGACCTACTAACTTTTTTGAAGAAAAAGACAATAAGTCTAATATTTGCTTTAAGTGTAGGAAAGTTGGACATATATCATCCATGTCTTCAACCGAAAAACAACTAAATGACTTAATAATGGATAAATATCTTAAAGATAAGGTTTTACGAATTGTCTTAAATTTAGAAACTAAAGAGAATAAAATATTGGCAAAATCATTTTCTAATGAGAACAATATATTAATGAAATAAGTAATCCTTCATTAGAAAGTAATTGGNAGGCGTTAGGCTATTTTTTGGTCGCGATATCATTGGCAGCAAGAGTAGGCCGGAGGAAATCACTATGAGAATAATAATAGCAATAGAGTCACTGTAGCAGTACTGTAGAAGAATTAAAAGACGAATTACAGTAACAACTGAAAGAAGGTGATAGTGAAATATATAAATCAACAGAAAATCCCTTGAGAAACCATAAAATGGCATTAATTGAAACTAATTTAAAGGATAAAGTCCTTTTAAATAATTCCCCACAATTAACCTACTTTGTGATTAATAGAGAACAAATTAATGAAGAATTTTATCTTCCTAAATATAAAGAATTTAGGAATTGATATTTTAAAACTATGAATCTTGATGACTTAAAAGATATAAAGAAATGTTTTGCCTTTATATAGAAAGGGAAAAAATAATAATTCTTTTTGTTAATTGGTTTTTAACCTATTATGTTCCACCCACTATGAATCAATTAAATTTAATTGAGAAATTTCAACAAAAATAAAAAATTTTGAAAGAAAAAACTATAAAGAGTTTTCACCCTCCAATAATATAATCTACTTTTAATCTTTATGATAGAGACGAAGATGAGTTTATAAAGGAACTTAGGAAAAAATTATTAACTTTATCTTTACATACAAATAATGATTGTCATACTTTCCCGGCTAAAATTGAAGAACAATTTCATAAAAGGAATCAAAGTAAGGACAAAATTGATAAAGTAGAAACTAAGTCTATAGAACCTACTAAGTCTTCAAAAGAAGAAAGTAGACCTACTAACTTTTTTGAAGAAAAAGACAATAAGTCTAATATTTGCTTTAAGTGTAGGAAAGTTGGACATATATCATCCATGTCTTCAACCGAAAAACAACTAAATGACTTAATAATGGATAAATATCTTAAAGATAAGGTTTTACGAATTGTCTTAAATTTAGAAACTAAAGAGAATAAAATATTGGCAAAATCATTTTCTAATGAGAACAATATATTAATGAAATAAGTAATCCTTCATTAGAAAGTAATTGGGAACAAGATAAATCTGTTTATTTCAAGATATAAATAGATTAAGTATAAATACTTTAACTAAGTAACAAACATTAATCCTATATCTTATAGATCAAATTCAAGATCCATTATATAAAAGAAAGGTTATTGAACAATATTTACAGATCACACCTGAAGAAAACAAACCTTCTTTAACCCAGCCATATTCTTTAAAAGAAGTTTTAAATAGATCAGAATCTATGATAATTGAAGAAAAAGAATCTTCTTTGCAAGATCTTAAAAATGAAATTAATCAGCTTAAAGTAGAAATAAAAACAATAAAACAAAGATTATTAGCTTTAGAAAAATTGCCGTTAATTGAAGAAGACAAGAAATAGTTAAACTCTCCTACGAAATACTTAAATATATTAGAAAAAATAATATAAAAAATGGTATGTTAAAATCATGC